CCCCTGTGCTACACCTTCTAGTGCTGTGTGGCAGTTCGTTTTATTCCCCGCTCCCCCTGCAGGAAACTTTATGCTTCATACTATTGTTAACAAATATTTATTATATTGTATACTTTACTATAAATTATATTATTATATACTGCAGGATAGTGTTAAATGAAACATCTCTGTTCTGAGTCGTCTTTTAAAATATTCGCAGAAATAAATAATAATAATCTACCTCAGTGTATAAGCATTTGTAATTCAGATTGAGCAAATGTCAGTGGTGCTTCTGACTTTTTCATAGTTGTTAGACTTTTGGAAAAATTACTTTTAGTTCTAAGGGCTCATTCCCACAACCAAATTAAAGTGCAATCCACCCAAATTTGAGGTAGCAGAAAATGATAATCACCTAAAGTTTACTTTCCCCATTGATGTTTCCTATTTTGCCACAAGTATTCCTTACAGTTACATTGACCTTTCAATTGCTTCTCCCTATAATTGTTTGCTGTTTGCAAGTTATTTTTAAATACTTTATGGCTTTGTTGCTCTTCTAAAAGTGGTAACAAAGCCAGCCTAGCAAAAGGGGATATGCACCAATGTATTCTGCAGCAGAGAAATGATAGGCCCTTCCTGTCTCTCTCTTGCTTTATCATTCAGCTCCTCTTCCTTTACTGTTTAACTACCCTCTACGTCAGGGGTCGCCAATCTTTTGGACCTCAGGGACCACCAAACCCATAATTTTAGATCCCAGGGACCACTAACTGGTTGTGTCGGCATGGCCTAATTTGTGGGTGTGGCTTGGTGGTCATGTGACTGGCTGGGCATGACTTGTATGTAAATATTATAAATATTTATATAAATATTGATTTTTTTTATAAAAAAAGAGCAACTTTTACCCAAAATCAGGCAAAGCAGACAGGCAGACTGAGTTGCTCACAGAATCACAGATTCATTCAGAAATCTATATCTGCCATTGGCTAGCTCAGTCTGTCACATAAATTTTGCTAGCAAGCAAACTCACAAAATTAACTCACAACACACCATGTATGTAAATATTGAATTTTTTTTATATAAAAAAGCAATTTTTACCCAAAATCAGGCAAAGCAGACAGATTGAGTTGCTCACAGAATCATTCAGTGATCTATCTATCTGCCATCGGCTAGCTCAGTCTCTCAAATTTGCTTGCCATGAGTCTGCACTGAATTTGCTTGCAAGCAAACCTTCAGTCCTAAGGGAGGTTCAGCTGCGCTGAGCCGAAGATCTAAAGACTAGCTAGAAAGCAAGAAATCCAACCATTTTCTGCTTCCTAGCTAATCTAAATCTCCCGGCACAGCAGAACAGATGATGGTCGGAAAAAGGAAAAATAGCAATTTTAGCAGGCAAGTTTACCGGGTAAGGAGTGAGTGGGCGGGGAGGGTTCCCGCAGGCTATGTGGGTGGTGCAGCCTTGTGTTTCTGTGCAGCCTGGATTAATTGCTTTGGGAGGGTGCTCTGGGGGTGAGATTTCTCTGTGGCCCACCAAAATTTTCTCAAGGCCCACTGGTTGGCAACCGCTGCTCTACATCAGTGGCCTTCAATCTTTTGGACCTGGATCTGTGGAGAGAGGTTTTTCCATGGAATGGAGGGGGCGTAGTTTCGTGTGCTGCCTGCATCTTGAGAGTGGGGCTTCACTGGTTTGCGTAGATCAGTGGATGTCATGCCATGGACCGGTCCTGGTCCATGGACTGGGGGGTTGGGGACCCCTGACCTGCATCTCTGACCAGGGGTTGGACTAAAGAGAGGCCCCCTGATTGGAACTGATCTCATGCTTCCTGGAACAGACAGTGCTGAGGATCTGGAACAGAAGATGTTGTAGTGACACCAATTTAAAGAGGCCCATAGATGTTAAACATTTAGTTACAATTTATTTTTTTAAGTAAACATTTTCATGAATTAAAATCAGACTGCTTTAGAAGAATTGGGGCAGCACAACGGCTCAGTGCTTAAGACGCTAGTCTTATCACCTGGAAAGCCGACAGCCTAGGTTTGAAAACCTGAGCGCCATGAGATGGGAGGAGTTCCCATTACTCACCTCAGTATTGCCAACCTAGCAGTTTGAAATCATGCAAATGCAAGTAGATAAATAGGTATTGCTTCAGTGGGAAGGTTATTGCATTCGGTATTTTCATGATGGCCATATAATGATGGAAGCATCTGTCTGAAAATGGAGGCTCCCTCAGTGATGAGCACTCTCCCCTTGATTCAGTCATTACTGGATAGGAAATAGGGGAAACCTTTAAAACCTTACTGAGGGCTGGATTAGCATTGTGGTTGTCCTTGGGTAGGGGCAGGGAGGGCGTGGCTGAGGTGGTTGTGGCTGACTGGGTATGGCTTGGGGCAAGCTTGATATCGATCCTGTAGGGGGTACCTGTGGGGCTGGATGGGGTTGGGGAAGAATGCAGGTATCTGGTAGAGCGATGGGCGGTAGGCTTGTCCTGTGGGATAAGGTGAGGCAAGGCAGGGAATGGAATGGCTGCTGCCGGAAACTGTTGGCCACTGTGCGCTTGCCATCCTTTATGTGTGGGGATGATGGTTTCCAGCTAAAGCCCACCAGCCCTTCTGCTGGTGCACTTTGTGGATCCAGAGCCCACTCCCACCACCATATTTACTGTCCAAGCAGCAGGTGTGGTGGCAGCATCAGCAGCAGGCAGAGAGGGGGGACACGATGCGGACTGCTAGATGTGCTTACTCTGTCCCACTATTTTTGCTTGTGGTTGGAGAGCAGGTCGCTGCTGGTCACATGGAGCACATTCCCCTCATGTACCCAATTCACCCCGGGTCCGGTGCATATTGCTGCCTCTCAGCAGACCCTCCAGCCCAAAGGAGGTGAAGTGGCCAGCTAGAAAGGCCTAGTGAGGTGATAGAGCACACCCAGGCCCAGCAGGCAAAAGAAGGCCATCCTGAGTGGGGAAAGCCAGATCCACGGCGCCATGGTTGCCTAGGCCCAGCAGAGACGGGAGGCATGCAATCCTGGCTGGGCCTGGGCAGCCATGGTACTGATGGGGATCTGGCTTTCCCCAATCGGGATGGCTGTCTTTTGCCTGCTGGGCCTGGGTGTGCTCTACTAGGCCTTTCTAGCTGGCTGCTTTGCCTCCTTTGGGCTGGGTGGGTCTTCTGAGAGGCAGCGGCCTAATGGTTTTGTGTGAGCTGTTGGTGGCCTCGGTGGTGGCAGCAGCCCACAGCAGTGCCTAGGTGTGTTGGGTGTGCAAGGGGAACACGCTTCACAAGGGGGTCAAGAGCAAGACCCATGAGGGGACCGAGGAGATGACCAGTGGCAACCTGCTCTCCAACCACATGGAAAAACAGATGGAGTAGGCAGGCTGATGGTGTCCAGCAGCAGCTGCCCCATCCCCTGCCCCATCTTGTCTTAGCCCATGGTGGTGAGAGTAGCCAGAGGAAGAGGCGCAGGAGTAGGCGTGCAATCTGTCCTGCTGGATGTGCTGGGCAGCTGCCTGCCCCACCCCGACCATAGAGCAGCCATTTCCGGTGGTCCGGATTACATCCTCCCCCTTGACTCTGTCTGCTGCTTGTGTTGTTGCCACTGCCATGCTTGCCTCTTGGAGGGTCAGCTTGGTGTTCGCAGGAGGCTGCAGAGCCACTGCTGCCAGACAACTCCCCCCTGCACATGTGTGCGTGCATGCGCATACACACACACACACACACACACACACACACACACACACACACGGCCAGCAGGCCAGACATGGAGATGCTGGTGCAGGCGTGGCGCTGATCTGCAACCTGGTGGTGGGTATCTGGGCCAGACCACAGCCAGCCTTAGATCTGCAGTACTGCTTCAGCCCCACCCCCTCAGCATGCGCATAGGAGGCAGCAAGCATGTGTGAGGGCTGGTGTCGTAGGTGAAAGGGATGTGCTCAGAATGCAGTCATCAGGGACACCAGGCCCCACATACTTGCCACCTCCTGTGAGCATGTGGGGCTGAGGCAATGCAGATCTAAAACTGGTCGTGTTCTGGCTCGGATGGCAACCACCAGGTTGCAGATTGGGGCTGGTGGTCCTGTGTCAGGTCGAGGCTCCACAAGCCAGTCCTTTGCTGTTTCTCGGATGGCCTCACGGGCCAGATCTAACCACCTCGCAGCCAGATCTGGCCCATGGGCCTTGAGTTTGACTCAAGAATTAAAAATACTAATCTTCAACCAATATTAATTCATCCAATGCCAAAGTGTGAAAAAGTCTGTCTGTTAGCTAAT